TATACAATGGTCGTGTCGTAGCTGCACAATGCGCGGGATGAACACGACGCCGTTGAATGTGTGCGGGCTGGCAGCCGCACAACCACGCGATGCCGAAGAATACGGACACGGTGTGTCAATCAATGGACGGTTCTGCGGCTATGATGAAATCAATGCCAAATGCCCGGCTCGTTCGGCGTTATTATGCAACGTGAACGGCCTGGAAATCGCGTGGCCCGAGGAACGCCGCTCAAAAACCGCGTGTACTTCCGGCGCCCGATCGATTACCGTCCGATCGAGACTCGCCGTTTATCGCGTTCGTCCTCCAATAGTAGATTTCTGTCACGTTCCGACACGCATATAAATGCAACGCACCTTCAACACTTCGGCCGCTACGCCAACAATATCACATATTTGACAGAATCGAAGTATTCCATTTAACCGAATTCAAATTGGAAAGTTTAAGTCGTATAGCAGTTGTACAACACGAAATGATTAGCGTGGAAATTAATTTGAAATTAATTAACTGTGGTGCGCACAATTATAGACTCGAAGTAACTCTTACGTTGTTACCGATATCCGAACGAAAACGAAATATCATATCTGTATATTTTTATTTTGTATTATTTCTAATATAGAAATATATACATGCACGTTGTTCTGTCAAGTTTTTGTTTAAATGTCACTGAAAATGTAAAAGTTACTTTCAGTCTATAATTATTCGCATCACTGTATATAGAGTATACAGAGGCAGTCCATGTTGTTTAACAAGAGTTAACACGTGAAGTGCCGAATATCATCTCCAAAAATTCCCACAATATCGAAGTCATCGAATGAATGAAACTAAAAGTAGATAGTTAAAATTAACCATGGTAACTATTAGTTCGCGATAACAATGAACTTTAAATACTAGTGTCATCCATACGTGTTCGATGCGGCACTTAACCGCGGCACTTAACTTAATCACATATGGGTGACACTAATTTTTGACCAATTTTGAAAATTCATTTTCATTGTGATATATTCGAACAAACTGAATTTATTAAATTTAACACTTAACTTAACTTAATCGCATATGAGTGACACTAATTTTTGACCAATTTTGAAAATTCATTTTCATTGTGATATATTCGAACAAACTGAATTTATTAAATTTAACACTTAACTTAACTTAATCGCATATGAGTGACACTAATTTTTGACCAATTTTGAAAATTCATTTTCATTGTGATATATTCGAACAAACTGAATTTATTAAATTTAACACTTAACTTAACTTAATCGCATATGAGTGACACTAATTTTTGACCAATTTTGAAAATTCATTTTCATTGTGATATATTCGAACAAACTGAATTTATTAAATTTAACACTTAACTTAACTTAATCACATATGGGTGACACTAATTTTTGACCAATTTTGAAAATTCATTTTCATTCTGATATATTCGAACAAACTGAATTTGATTAGGATGTTTTCAATGCGAAGAAATTCTAATGTTATCCAGTATAATAACCTTATTTCAACTTTCTAGTTTCGGTTTAATTACTTGAATTGCTTTGACCTTGTGGGAATTTTAGCGGTTCATTGTCGGCGCTAAACGTGTTAATGTGTTAAGAGCGTGGAAGTGGTAATTGCCGATTTTTAGGGGAACTTTGTTTTTAGAACTTTTACGAAACATAGCAAACGATTCAAGAGAGCGAGGCATAGTGGTGATCGTACTGGTTTTTATGGTAATTTTGTGGAAACGAGATCGTCGCTTTCTACGTTAGATGCGAGTGTTTTCGTAAAAAAAACCGATTCTAATGCATACGAGCGGTAGCATAAATTAAAAAGAAGGACCAGAAAAAGTTTATAGAGTCTCCCACAGCGCAGCAATAGAGTTTTCGAAGATTCTCTTGCGTCGACACCGAAAAAGCCTATGTGACTGCAGCTGCCAGAAAAGTCTGTGCCACGGCATCGATTGACGACCATCGACCCAACGACACAGAAGTTGCATCCTGTGTATTCTTATCGGAGCTGCGTAATGCAACGGGTACGCTAAATTCAAGGTTTGCGCAAAGAATTTCGAAGCGATGTAAATTCGAAGACGTGTGCGATAACTATTCAGATTGGAAAAACACAAGAATGTACAGCCAGATACGCACGTCGAATTAAACATTCGTCGTCTGATCTCGATCCATTATTTACTAAAGACAACTAATCGGCAGAATTCGATACATCGATGACAAAAAATATAATAGCTGTATCTCAAAAAGTCAATTTCATCTTATTAGAATTATCTCGGAAAGAAACGAAATTGCTCCTTGGCTCCTATATACTGCAATGGCTGCAGACAATTCTCTGCAGAAAGATTCGCGGTCTGTTGATCAGCTAGCAATATTTTGTACTAACTTATCAAAAACGAGCATGCGTGGAGATCTCATGGACCACAGAAGTTTGTTCATATTTGTATACCTTTTCTGCATTTAGCTGACTGAAATAGAATATAAAAAAAATATCTACAAATGAACTACTATAAATAATATCTACTAAATAAAAATTATTATCTACATCGATTGCAACAAGCACGAGGCAAATGGAAACGTCTTTCTTTCTTCGATCATTTCATTGCGTTGGAAATAATACATGGATATCCTTAAATTCTTTCAATGTTTCCATTGTTTTATTCATCTACACATTTTGATCAATAAAATCCGCGGTCTACCGATAACTTATCTCTCAAACTAGATCCGAACTTTGCAGTCTGCAAATTAACGACTCCGTTTGTCACTGCCGCGACATGTGTTTAACACTTGTACCTGATCTACTCATCCCGTCGTTTCGTCTTTTTGTCATTCGTGCTGATCAAACAGCGGCTCCTTTTACATGACAAAATGTTCTAGATGTACAGCTTGAAGAACGCAGTCGGACGAACAAGTGTTATTTTCCGTGCTGGTAGTTCTAACATTTCGTTATTGAACTGCGAACAATGTATGACGTTTCTATGATAACATCGGAAACGTCCGTCGTAATTCGAACGCTCGTGTGACCGTACCCTTAATCGATCGGGACGGTTCGCGAAACGCGTGCAATTGAAAGGACAAACGCGATCAGACGCCTCCGCTTCGACTCCTTTCGACGACGGACTCTCGATCGCGTTTCATCGGATAACCTTGCGATGCGACGTCCAACCGCTTGCAAAACGCCGCTATTTTTCGTACAAAAAGATATTCGTGGATCATCCGTTTTTCGAAGACACGCCTTGCCACGCGAGGGATCAACCCTATTCGCCGATTTCACCGTTGGTCACGGTATCGGAGTCGGTACGAGAACATTTTTTATGAGTTTCACGCGGTCGTGTCTTCGATTAAAAAGTTGCGATCGGAATAAAAGGAGTAGGATGATAGTTAGAAGATCAAAGTTCGTTAATGAAAGATATTGAAACACGCTTTGGAATACTAAAATTATCACGCGTCGAGCGTTGAATCGATTTAACGAGATCATAATTTCTATCTACGTTCGTGCATCCGTATCGCCGATAACGCTTCAATCGTGAAGCAAAAACTCCGACGTCGATTTCTTTGAATTTTTCTAAGAAAGGTCGAGTGGGATTGCCAGCTAACTGAGAATAGATAAGATTGCAGATTAGTGAACTGTGCGTCGTAGAAACGGGGTTCGTTGTATACGATTTGCATGTAAATCATCGTTTTCTATGAATCATGAATCAAATTACTCCTTTCGCAAATCCCGTCGGCCTTCTGTATTCCACAGTCGCACAGAACTTCGTAACATCGTAGCAAAAACCGAACACGTGCTTCCGACAGATTTGCAATAAGCGCCTCCTCCGCGCCACTCTCGATACAAACTCCAGCTGCGACCGTCTCTTCGTATATAAATCATGAAAGACTATTCAACTATTCGATACTATTCGAACACTTATCGAAATATTAGCTTCTTATCCTGTCAATTAACTCCGCGGAAACTTGGTAACTTAATCCTCCATACAGGAAAATTCTCTCGAAATGTTAACAACTTTATCGTACCTTGAATAATCCTTTCAACCCGAACGAACGTTTGAACGTTACAGCTGCGTTTTTGCCATAAATGCGTACAATCCACGAACTCGAAACGATCTTTACAACATCTCTATCTATCCGATCAAATTACGGTAATGTCTCCCCAACTGTCGCTCAGATTCTGCAGAAAAATGTGTTTTGTCCGTACGTTCGGTTAGTCGCCTAACGTACATGCGCGACCGAACTATTGTACGCTCGATTCGCGCTTCCTACGGCAAATTAATGACGTGGAAGGGTCTCTAGTAGTCTTAGAGAACTTTATTTTTTGTGTTGTACTCTCTGCGAGCGCTGGTGGAAGAATGCTCTTCCAACGCTGGAAAGTCGTGGAAGAGCACCCGTGGATGGAGGTAGATTGTTTATTATTGGTCAAGGCACGAATCACCCCTTGGAGGGGGGTGTCTGCCTTGACCCTTGTTGGGGCCTGAGAGGGTTTCCCCAATGGTGGGACCTTTTTATGGCCCTTGTCTCTGGACGCAACAAAATGGACAATTTGGGAAGACAATTTATTCAAGCCTCGTGACTCGTTTTTATAATTGTTGACGATTCTTAACTGTAAAGACAAACCGCATGGCTCGAATAATCGTATCTCCTCTTCCCAAATTGTCCATTTTTTCTGGACAATCTGAGCGTCGATTGGAGAGACGTTACTGTACCCAGAAGACGATCTTCGGAGGATCGTGACACCGAGTACAAGTTCACCAAGAAAGAAAGAGGAAGAGTGTATGAATTTCGAGCTGTGAAGTTTCAGAGCGTAGTCCTGTCAATAATGCTCGCGGAATGGTGTAAAATTGCACGTGACAGGGAACAGCAAAATTTCCGTGTATTCTCCATTTATCCGATCGAATTACAGAACAATGCTCGTGTACAGTTTCACGATAGAAACGAAGAGACAGAGATAGAGAGAGATAGAGAAGCTAGAAATTCGATGCCGAAATGCGAATAGTTTTTCGAACAATACTCACAGTACATCTCTGGGCAAGGTCTTGTATAGCGCGTAAACGAATCGTCGGCGTTTTCCTATGAGCAGATAGCCGGCGATAAACACGGCCAGGGCCGCTATCACCAGCTCGCGCGCTGCCATGGTTAGGCGAACTTGAGGTAGAAGGTGTACACTGTAGGCAGACGTGTTGTTGCCTCGACAATATAGATCAGCAGCCTGCCCTGATCAGCGGGAAAATTGAAAAGCGAATTCTTTCTCTCGGTTCTCGCGAAGCGGAACGGACACTCGCTGAGACGGCGACTCGCGACCGAACCGCGACCGAACCACGACTGACAACGTTGTCAACGAACGTGATACACGCCGATGCGGCTCACCGTCTACGTGTGTTGGCCGCGTGTACGTGCGTCGTCTCGCGAGCCGAGCGTACAAGTGATCGTCATTGATAGTCATTGGCGTAGCCTTTCAGAAAGTCCGGGGTAAGGAACGACGAGCAAAGGTCGACAGATCGACTTCGGACCGTCCCCGTGTGCGATCACTCGCGTTCCACGCGCCAAGATCGAAGAAAAATTTGCTTTTGCATTCGCAGTTTCGCCCCACCGCGTCGCGGTGAATCTGAACGGCAGGCCGATGCAAATGCCCCCGGCTAAAAATATAGAGAATCGAGGCTGCTGTTCCGAGTTCAAAGTTGAGTCGAGGCGAGCAAGTTGCAAAGGTTCGCTGTACGTTCATTTCTGTTTTTGTGAAGACGTTCGCCAACGAACAATAAGAGATGAAGTTTTATTCTATCCCTTTAAGAAACATAGAATGCTATCCTCTCCATTTATTATACATACGAGAAATCCCTACTAGTCACGACCGCGCCTTTCATTCATTAGGGGTATTATAATCAAGGTATACGACCCTTAAAGACATATTATTTAATTCAATCAAAATGGTTCGAACGACGTTTTATTATGTTTATTCCTAATCTATAAATAGTGCTTTCGTTGTATACAAATCTTAACATGATTCAGGAAATGAATACTTAAATTATGAATAACAACGTTCTCGTATCGGCAGTAATCCTAATTTTGGATGTGCATCGCGCACGCGGCAATCAAACGTAAATTCCTGTGTTCAAGCAAAATCTTAGGATCCAGGTTTTATTGTAAAGTTAGCCCTTAGCGCTCCACGCGTTTCTCGAGTACTACCTGTCAGCAACTCCGGCACATTTTTGGAGAAAAGCGCCTGAGATAAAGGAAGTCTTATTTTGTGCGGTAAAGATTACACGTCCTTGTGAAAGCGCTAAGCCCTTTTATGTTGCTAAGTATAAAAATGGGCAAAAAATGTTTTAATCGTAATGGTATCTACTTAACATTGTGCGAGGTCGGTGCATCGACATCGTGAATTGTGACCAAAATTTCCAAGCAGCAAATGCATCCTCATCGAAATGGGTAAATTTACTATTAACGATATTCTTCACAATTCTTAAATAAATATATCCCTCGTGTTCTTTGACACGATTTATTATAAAATTAGCATCGCGAATCGTCCGTCGAATTCTGTTTGGATACGGAATTATTGAAACAAAAATATCTTTTGCGCGAGTTTGCCGGAATTTTTTTATCGTTAATCTTCACTGGAATCGGCTCGATTAATAATTAAGTTAAATTAAAAATTAGTAAATATTCTTCGGACGTATTAAAATAAAGTTGAACAGCGTTTTTCTGAAAAATATCACTATCAGCAGCTCCGGCACATTTTTGGAGAAAAGCGCCTGAGATAAAGAAAGTCTTATTTTGAGCGGAAAAGATTACACGTCCTTGCGAAAGCGTTTGATTTTATTCATTTTATGTTGCTAAGTATTAAAATGGGCAAAAAATGTTTTAATCGAAATGGTACACACGCTAAGCACGTTTTCGCTACAAATAACAATTGCCAACGTCTACAAAAACATAACATCTTCGGTGTAATCATGCTAAAAATATTGGGCTCCGCAGCAGAGCCTTCGGATTTACGGAACAAATGACGGATGTCTCCATAGCGTTACGTCTTAAAACTTTCTCAACTTCGGAAATTGCTTCTTACAAAGTGCACTTGAATGTCCGAGCATTTCGAACGGAAAATAGAAGGGACGGGGGATCTTCGAATTCAGTGAAATTTTCGGGACTCGAGGTTTACGAGTTCGACATACTGCAAGTTACATTCGTTCGCGAACAACCGATTGATACCGGTTCACGTTGGCCGTCGCATCGCGGCAATGGCAATTGTGCCGGCTTTAATTGCACCATAGTGGGGTCGCGCGCGTGTCCTGCAACGTTGCGTTCAATTTTCTAATCGATTAATAAGATAGACGCCGGCGGACGCGGCCACACAATTCGTTAGAAAAACTGCATTTATTTTAAGACGATGAACATACTTCGCTGTTCTCCTGCAAAATTGTACTGTATCTTGTATTAAAACCTTCGGGTAGGCGCCGCACGTAAAATCAACATAGACGAATGTGTCTTGTATTAACGTGTGTACTCAACGTAATGTGACTTAAGATGTAAATTTTAAGTAAAATATTTCTTCGTAAAATGTAAAATTGAACGAAAATATTTCTTCAGCGTCGATCGAGGTGACATACTATCCATGACAGAAGATATTCTATTGATATTGAAAATATGATTGTTGAAAGAATGACTTGAACGTTTATTGAAGATGGAAGATAGTGTCGCATATATTTTAGACAAATGCAACAAAATATTGTTCTTCTGCGAAAATAGTGTCCCCAAATAATACGAGAAAATTCCAAGAAGATGTAACTGACGTGAGAAAATATGTTTCAGCCACTTCGAATGATGACAATAGAAATTGCCGAAGAAAATTATTCCAATGGATACTATTGCCTGTTTTGAACGCAAACGAATTTTACCATTCGTAGCTTCTATTTCCGTTGATTTTACGTTTCGTTCGTGCATTTTGATCGTAAAATAGTGATTCGTTATAAAAATGACCATCGATGTAAGTATCGTTAAGTTGACATACTTTCTGCCAAAGGTTATATCGTGATAGGCAAAGAAATAGGCGCGACAGACGCAGTTGTATTTAAAAATAATAGGATATGTATTGATATATAAACTTATGATTATAATACACCATGAAAGACAGGTACAAATACGCAACGTACGCTCGCAGGCAATCGGGTTTCAGTCTGGAGGGAGCCTCAGTCACGAGTATTTCACGACGATGGTTACTGAAAAATAAAAGATCAGTGATACGTACGCGTGCTTCCGGTCTCGTCGGGCACGAGAACAGCGTCCAAGCGTGCCGGGGCGTGCGCAAACCGGACATGAATAGTGGATAGAAAGAATGCGGGGAGAACCTGCCGTTTCGTCGGGTTCAACCGTGATACACGAAATTGCACAGCATGCTCAACGGTAGCTTACAACGTAGCCAACGTTTCAATTATATGGGGCACACGAACGCGGAGCAAATTAACAGTAGTGGAAAAAGTGTCATGAATACCTGGCATTGACCGATCGAAGCTCGTTACATCGTGTTCGCTATCTGAGAACCAGGTAAAGCACCATGATGTCCAGAACTGAAAACGATACGCGTCGGCCTGACTACGTGGACTGTGTTAAAATGTTCTTTTTTTTTGTGTGCGTGACAACAGAAGTACCGACACACAACAGAAGTGAACACACAATGAGATAGAGAACAGTGAACGACAGAGTCGGCGACAGATGGATGCAGACTGTTCAGAATCAGAAACGCCCGATTAGTACTTACTCGGCAATTGCATCTGCCAAAATTTATAACGATCGAATGCAAAATTGCGTTTTGGTATTTCTCAATTAACTTTCGGATGACGGCAGATTTGGGTATTATTCGAGTAACATTTCGAATACATTTCTGTATTCGAATAGAATTTCGAATATAGTCAATTATTCGACTTGCATTTCGAATAGCATTTCGAATATAGTCAATTATTCGAATAGCATTTCGAATATAGTCAATTATTCGAATAGCATTTCGAATATAGTAAATTATTCGACTAGCATTTCGAATATAGTCAATTATTCGAATAGCATTTCGAATATAGTCAATTATTCGAATAGCATTTCGAATATAGTAAATTATTCGAATAGCATTTCGAATATAGTCAATTATTCGAATAGCATTTCAAATATAGTAAATTATTCGAATAGCATTTCGAATATAGTCAATTATTCGACTAGCATTTCGAATATAGTAAATTATTCGAATAGCATTTCGAATATAGTCAATTATTCGAATAGCATTTCAAATATAGTAAATTATTCGAATAGCATTTCGAATATAGTCAATTATTCGAATAGCATTTCGAATATAGTAAATTATTCGAATAGCATTTCGAATATAGTCAATTATTCGACTAGCATTTCGAATATAGTAAATTATTCGACTGATTTTTCGAATAAATTCTATGAACGAAATTTGATTCTCATAATATATCGAACAAATTCTTCGAATAAAATTTGATTCGAATATAATATTCCAAAAATAAATTCTACGAATAATATTTATTCGTTATTCGAATAAAATATAACCAGCTCTGGATGGTGAGCGTTCTCTTCCTTATCAATTGTCCCAAAAATATTCTGGAATGTGTTTCTCGACACTGCGTCAATCTTATCGATGCTAATGTAAACTACTAATAATATAAAAAGTCACTAATCGGGGTATCCAGATATCAGCTCCCAACTTGTGTCTCATACGTTTTCGTGTTTTTGCAGAGAACCATTGAGCCGATGTTTATTTAATTTCTGCTTTTGTCGGTTATCTTTGCGGCTTTCGATATTGGCGAATCGTCTTATTTTTCGCAAAAAATCTTTGCCAAATAATGGAATAAAAATACATCGTCGTACCTTTGATGAAAGGTACGGCGATGTATTTTTATTCCATTTTATATTTTATTTTATTCCACCAAACTGTTCGATGGGAGAACAGTAAGTGAAAATTTTTATTTAAATATATATAGGTCATCAGATTTTAAGGTTGCTATCTTAGCGAGCGAAGGAAGTTTATGCAGATTTTGATGAACCGACGTCCAGTAAATAATTTGCCAAGCAAAGGAGGTTAATACAAACCGAATTTGATCGTGAAGCTAAATTAATTATGCAGCCAAATAAAACGGTTTCTAATTTCTGGATAATTGCAGAACGATCACAAACTTATTGAACGAATAGAAAATTTACCGCATTGACGCAAATGTTCGATGTTGTATCACAAGTGGCCCAGTGCCGTCATCCAAAGCTGGAAATTAGATAATCGGGCGTTTCTGCGCGGGAACGGTGAAATGCAATGAAAAAAAAAACATGCGCCGAACATGCATCATCAATGAACGGTGGTTTAGTTATTTACCGATGATGCAGACGATCACGGTCACTGTGATGGTAACCAGTATCACTCTAGCCCTGAAGTTCTGAAGCCAAGCTCGCTGCTGCGCTTTTTTCGCCGAAGCTCTGAACTCGTTTCCGGCCATTGATAAACGATCGCTGGCATCCTGCAGATCCTCGAGCCGCTCACCGCGCTCCATCACTTTCTGCACGTTCTCACGCATCACCTCTGTCACCTCTTGAATCTGCAGCCGGACGCTTGGACACGAAACGATAAAGTTCTTCCGAATTATTCAGCAAATTTCATAAAGCTTGCGAGCTTTTCGCGTACGAATTGTACGCTGTCCACGTGTGTTTTGTTGAATACGATCGATCTACAGACTCTTCGAAATATAGGTTTCGATAACATTGTACGCACAGATATGAGCCGTTTATTTTGAAAGTGGCACAAGTCATTTTACCGTGATGAAAAGCGGTGATTTTTTTTAACGTTTATACGAAATTATTTATACCGAGAAATATATATCTCAGTATCCTGAGATAATAAATACAAGTAAATCTTCTCGAAAGTTAGCATCCATATTTTGAAACGGTGTTGAAACGCGAACCCTTAAATATATCGACTTAAAAACAAAGTGACTTATGCCACTTTCAAAATAAACGGCGTTATATAGAAACGTTTAAATTGCTTTCAAAGCGCACTTCCATCGCGCACCGATCCGTATCGTAATTTTTGAATTTGTATCGAAAATTACGAATCCGATAAGATATCGATGAAAGTCGCACCGATTTTTAAGTTCGAACGATTTACACATCTGCGAAATCTTTAAAAGTATGTAACTAAAATTACTCGACAGTATAACTTAGAAATAAACACACACGAGATTATGTTTCTTACCTATCCATTTTTATGTCGGATCTAGACGCACTCGGTTCCACTGTGGATGTATTTGGTTGGCTGAAAACGATCGGTAGACGTCAGGATATTGGTAAAACGTGCGCCTGAAATAGAAGAACGTTACTGAACTCACTTGAACAGCATGTCTTCGTCCGGTTCGCTGTCGTGCTCCAGCAGCGTCTCCTGAAACCCGTTCAAAAACTACCATTATTTAACTGTAAACTTTATTTTCCAAGCTTTATCGTCATTATTTTCAAACGTTATTTTTTTTAGCTATTTCTTAATGCCAAACTTACAAAGTATCTTCTATTAAGCAATAAATGGCTTTTGTGTGGAAAATAACAAGTTGCATCGATCGGTGCAACGAAAAACATGCGATTACATTTTTTAAAAATTAAGTTAACCTTCGTATCTTTTCTGCCCCGTTGACCTAGAAAACCTTGAAACCATTCGACTTTGATCCGAGCCATTATTCGGTATCGCCGACGGTTTGCAAGATATTTGACTGGACCGATTTAAACGGGCTGCCCTATATATCGCAGAGTGACACGTTCAAAACTTCGCGTTTTATAATTACAATATAGGCAAGCTTGTGCCGCGCTCGTTGTTCGCACTATGCCTAATACGCCCACGTTTGAAACTCCCGCCGGAGCCTGACATTTCGAGCGCGCTCGTTATCTGCGACTCTAATTTCGGCCAGCAACGTTGCGAAATACTCACTCTCTCGTCCTTGTCCGCAGTCTGAATATCCTCCCGGGACAAATTCCATTTGTTGGCTGCCGCCATCTTCTATTCGGGCGATCCTGCGACCGATTCTACGCGTAACAAGTCGTCTAATCCGCCGCGAAAGTGCGAGTTTCCACGGCTGTGACTCAGGCGGAGTTCGATAACACTGAACGCGTGGCCATATTGTCGCTGTACTGGCTGTTCCATCGACCTGGAACTGGTTTTCGCACCAGCGGCTTCACGCTAGATGGCGGCTGTCGCCTAACTCACATAACCAACCGACCTAACCGACTTAACACAGATACGAGAGTTATACATAGTTGCAGCTCCGGGCGTTGCAATTGCAGCACATACCGAGCATATATGTACTCGTATCACATAGGTGCAGACTTGACATCCAATGTATGTGTTATTTTATCGTCCGAACATGGGGCTTCAGAAGCCCCATTACCATTCCCGTGTCACGCTCGTCGTTACCGATATTTAAGAAATTTAAGCTTATTAGCGGGGATCGAGTATTCTGTATACCTCATTCGTATTGCAGCACGCTTTATAATCTGGAAACAAATTCACACGGTGTGTACATGCGTATTCAAACGATTCTTTTAAAGCCGGAGCTAGGAGCTTGACAATGTTCGAAATGTGTGTGCAATGAAAGTAACGAAATATTTGTGCTTCGAAGATTTTAAAGCAGACGAGAGGGTATTAGAAGGTATTATTGGTAGAAGAAATTCTTATGATTTCTTAAATTATAATTATTATAATTATTAAACAGCTGGAGAGAGAGAGAGAGAGAGAAATAATAAATCTATAATATTATTTTAAATAATTATTTCTTATTTACATTTCAAATAAAGTTTGCCCAGGCACAGACTTAGGATCCGTACAGACATTGCATGCAATGCTTTTTTTGGTCTCAGGATCTGAATTACCGACTCTGTAGAAAATGCTGTGATACGGCATTTCGGCAATTATTAATTCCTTTTGCGTATATGTATATGCTGATATTTGTACATACAGGGTAGTACCATCGGGCAGGGGGTGATTTCACGTTCTCTTTCTTCTTAAAAATATCACTTTTACGTAGTAAAAAAAAATCCGAAATGTTCACTCTTCGTGACTTGTTCAATACTTCGAACGCGGCTCGAGTCCGTCCTGACCTGTCAAAGCCTCGTGCTGCGGGCTCTCGAACTTCGCGCCCTCCCCTCTCTTTGGTCAGTGTTTTTCGTTAATAACTCGTAAACAAAGCCGCATATTGCATTTTCGCAAAGGAAAAAGTTACTCAGGATGACCTCAGCTACCCCATATTTTCGTAATGCGAGAAATTTTTGCGGCACCCTTGTATATATACATATATATTATAAAATAAAATAAATATACATATATATATATCAATAAAAAGACCTTGATAATTCCGGAAAAAGGGAATTATACATACATATTGTATTATATACATATATATTTAAGTATATGTATAATTAAATAATATGTATGCATAATTCCCTTTTTCCGGAATTATCAAGGTCTTTTTATAGATAAACGTACAATTTTGTTTTTTAGATTCGGAAAGAACTATATGTTATGAAGCTTGCCAAATTGGTTTCAGCATCCCCTAAAAGATAGGTACAAAGAGAATTGTAGGTCAACCTATAAAAAACTGAAGATGGGACTGCTAACCTCGGAAAAAAAGGGTTGACAAAAGATTTGGCACAATCATCTTAAAGCTCTCCTTAAACCATGTTATTTTAGCTCAAAAAATTTCAAATCGAACCACTGGCAGCAGAATAAATTAAGCTGATCACGTTCCATGGTCCACCCTGTATATCAGGGCTTGGAATGAAGTTAAATACAGGCACACGCGCCTGATGCAATCATTAAAACACGGATACATTAATTACTGGTGTACCCGTGTATGTATTTCAGAGTCCGTGTACTCGTGTGCCCGTGTATTAAGACGTACACGGATTGATACACGGATATATTAACTAAACGTGCACACGTGTATTTCAGTAAACGTGAAATAGGGACCTCTGGTTCCGAGCGACGCGAGCGAAGGTTTAATCCACCAGCACACAGTAGCAGCAATATTAGGGAGTGGGGAAGGGTGGGAGGCTGGATCTGCGCTATTCTATCTGAACGTGACGCCCCCCCCCCCGGCTCCGTCACCTCCTGCCGCACGGTGCCTCGCGCCGTAATCCGAGGCATCTTCCTGGCCTTGTTATTAACAACTTCAACATTAAATATCTCAAAAACTGTCAGCCGTCTGCACTCAAAATTGAGTATTATCATTGGATTCAGGTTTAAAAGCTCTATCACCGTGCGAAATCTCATCGAAAAGTGAGCCTGATACCTGGGGTCGTATCTTCTGATTAGTCGTATCTCTAACAAATGGAATTGTTATAAATATGAAGAAGCCAGAAATGATAAATTTACGAATGTTAAGAATTCAATCTAATAACGTATCGATCGATTTGTGCAATTAACCCTTTGCAGCGCGATATAGCGCTTGTTTTATTTTCTGTCGTAAAATACCAAGCGGCGCGATAATAATGAATTAAAAATGTTTATTTTGTGACATATTATCGCATTATTATAGTATTATTCTACCTATTGTGAAATGTACCATTTACATTAAAAGGAGCCGTGCGATGTACTTGCTTCGGTAAATCTGAGCGCGCTTCGACAATCGGTAACGCACCGTCAGTTGTCCACAATGTTCGAAATGTGCTGGGTTTTCTCGTCATTAAATCTAAACAGCGCGATCGCGCTGCTTGGGACTCGAACGGTTAACTTGTCCTGCAAGACGAAAAAGTACGAAACGATAGAAATTGGGCAGGAAAGTGGATAGAAAGTACAAGGCTCGTTAGGAATATTGCTTTTATTTTGACAGAAACACCTAGAGTCTACATCCTACGACAGAGATCCGGTACAATACGATAGATAACAAAATAATTTGATTGTCGTGTGGGTGTGCAGGAACTGTTTGCGAAAAGAACTGTGAGAAACGGCGAGACAACGATAATTCCGAGATTCTAGTCCGCTAACGAGGCGAATCTCGTTAAAAAAACATCCCAGCTACATCGCCGCGGCGCGTTACAAGAGCTTCGTTTCATTGTTGCTTCTCGTCTGCTAATTTCTCGTGATCGTCCGTAGAAAAACTGAGAGAAACCGTCGATTGAAGGGAATGCACGCGTTCCCTGCACTGGGTTCTCTAACGTTTTTACAAAGTAGAAAAATGCCGATCCTGCGGGCGAGAGATCGCGACGGGTCGCAATGTTGCGTATATAAAAATAGTCCTGCCTTTCGAGGCCGTGATGGATTCTGATTAGAGGTTCTCGCGATCATCGTGAATGGGTTAACAATGCGTAAGGGTCACAGATGCGTTGCGTTGAGATCGAGTTTCGTCGCCGACCAAGTGCGAATCATTCCGCGTCAAATTATCCCATCATCGGAGATACTGCAACACAACGAATCTTCTTCGTTCGATCTATCTGCTCTCTAGAACAGGCATGGGCAATTGCTCTCGCTCGTTCCTTGTAATTTCGAGTCCTCTGTATTGGGTTGGCAACTAAGTAATTGCCGATTTGTTCAATGAAATAAAAATTTTTTTTTACTTGGAACGAAGTTTAATCTGTAATGTATTTTCCATTTTGTTCGATGACCTTTTGCCATCTCTCCGACAACTTGAAAATTCCACGCTCGTAGAAAGTCTGATCCTTTTCGGCCAAAAACTGAGTTAAGTGAGATTTTACAGCATCATCATCACTATACGGTGCATCAACAATACGTACTTTTAAAGAAAAAATTTATCGTTCAGGAGTGTACCAATAAAAATCGGAAACGCGTTCGAACGCCTACTAGAAAGTTAAACGAAAAACCTGCGCTGGCTCGCGAAGGTGTTCCAACACTTTTTAAAACAGAATCACTTCTTTCCAGTTGGACGAGATAACTTGAACTTTTAGGAGGTGGTAAAGGGACCAGTTTATATGACGATAGCAAACATTTTCTTATTAAACCACAGTTACATGGAATGTCAACGAATGAAAAAAAGAACTCGCGTTTCTTAAAGTTTTTTTTTATCCGAGCTTACAACGAAAATGTAAACAACACGTTCTGCAAGATGTAAAAATCTCTGGATTTCTTACCGTTGTCGATCGAAAGTGTCCTCGTAAAAACTTCAATTTCGATTTCGACGAAATTCTCAACATACGTACAAGTTATGTTCTAATTTCAAACAAATTACAATTTTTAAAATGTTTTGCAGATATCACTTATTAAACTGGTCCATCTATCGCCTCGAAGACATACAATTCATTTAATCCACATTTGAAAAAGTTATCCTGTTTCGAATGTGTTCGAGCACCTCCGCAAACCACTGTATGTACAGATTCTCTCGGCGTACTTTCGCTGACGCGCATCAGCGTGAACGCGTCCTCGTCCTCGGACTTAAAGCCCTGACGAAACCATGTAGCCGCAATGCTGTTGGAGAGCAAGAATAATATTTCGTTTCGGTACGGAAGTCCCAATGAATAAGATAAATAGTATTCTGTCGACATCTGCCAACGTCGCAACTTGACGGCCTCTCTGACGTCGTTCGGCCCAACGTGACGTCCCTAGGGGATGCCTGGATGGCGATCGGAGCGAGGAACATGTTGCCCGTGTCTGTTCCAGAAGACTGGAGAACGCGAGATGATGATTATTGTTACAATATACAGGGAATAATTCCTACGATTAAACATGCCCGACGCAGGATTAGAAGCCGAAAGGCTAATCTAACTTGCAGATCCCCGGCTCGCGTGTCACTGTAATTCCAGTCGTCCTCGATAGTTCTCTCTTCAGGTCTCGTCCAAAGTAACGGACAATGATGCAATAAAGTCTACACACACACATATACCGACGGAGTGGGATCATCCCCTCCGTCTTGTACGTTTTTAGGCCGTCCCTACTCGGTTGAACTATGTCCGTTCAACAACCTTATCGATACTCGCGCGATAGAGACCGTCCAGTGCGCGACTAGACCATGTTTCATCGGGAAAACAGGAAGGAAATCGTTCGAGTGACCGACAAAAATGGAACAAATTTTCGTAACGGCGAAATTATTACAATCGCTTTAAGACGCAATCAAATCAACTGTGAAATATTTCGAAGTTTTTGAGAAGAAAGTTCACAAACGATTTTTCTCTCCATTTCCGGATCGATTGCGAGTATAACTCCTTAATGATCATTACGCTTAATGCCGTGGGAAACCTACATACAGAATCTAATCGAATATTATAATAGCGCAGTACGCGACACATAAATCCGTGTTCATCTATTGGGTCGGCCAGCAAAATTTTGTCGCATTTTTCAATCACGCCTGCTTATTATACAGTCATGAAATAATAGACCGAACTCTGTATGTATTGTACTGTTTTGCTTGACAACGTTTTATTAATCTTCAATTTATTTATTCGTTCATTCGCAGCGTCTGATCGCGTTGAAACGCGCGACAAGAATTTTCGACCAACCCGATAGAACGGATCGATTGAAAAATAATCGAACTCTAGGTGTGGCATCGTCGAAATTTCTTCAAATTGTAACATCCATCGTTCTTCTCGCAGCCATAAAATTCGGGTGTTAACCGTTCGTGATTAGTTACTACGGTAAAACACAATGCTTGATCGCGCGACGTGACGAGTCGAAAACCACGAAGACAGCCCAAACACGCCGTGAAGGTAACATCTCGCGACATATAGTTGCTTAATCTCTAATTATACTACGCGTGTATACAGAATATGATATCGTTAACGCGTCTTACGAAGTTAGGTGTGACGACCAGCGTCGCAGTTGGACGAAACCAGCGTCCAGCAAAATTATAACGACCTCGGCATCCGTAGAATCGATCCTCAAAGCGGCGTTTCCAGTAGAATAAACCGATCAGAAAAGTCGAGGGCAAACGTCGACGCCGTCGAGTTGATTAATTAACGGCCGTCGAGCCAAAAAGAAAAAAGTAAAATCCATCTTCCGTCAAATTGGTTCGAAAATCGAATCAATCGGAAAATATCGGAGTTCATCCCGACACGAATCGTATTCGTTCGGGTTTCAGCCGATCATCATTTTTGGTTTAATTAATGGAGAGCGACGCGTCGCGAGGCTAGAATTAATTATTGGAAAATTCTAAATACGCGCAGACCGAGATTCAGGAAGTGTTCGCGCACGCGAATGCAATTTATTAATTTTATTGATCTTTCGATCGTGTTCCGATATAAATTAATGTGCTTGTTCGAAAACTAATGAAGTTAAATTCAATTTTGACACACGTGCGGGAACACGTATCTGGATCGCTTAAACGACACGGATTTGCTTCGCAACGTCGCATTTTGATTTTCCAAGCCCGCCTTCTTGCGGCACAAGCAGTAATCGGGAAACTGTGTAAACAAATATCAAATTGATACTTTCATATCACGAGATAATAAGGGAGAAAACCGTATCTTGTTTTTGGTGGTCAACGACTGCGTCATTTTATGCAAACTATGTAAAGATTATTTAAATTTCACCCGATACTTGGATTTCATTCAATGCCGAATTCTCGAATATTTTTATGAGCTGAACGTGCATAAAGGCGCAAATCCTAATTAAGTTTACGCGACTAGCGTCTTTTGTCCTTGCAAATATGAATCTCAATATGAATCTCCATTCGCTGGGGGAACACTTCCAAAGAGAATGAAGCGAGTGAGTTATGAATGAATGACTACGAAAGAGATAATTCAAACTTCCTTTTATGATAATTACTTTTACCGTGTGCTGCGCCGCATCTTCATCACTTCGTAAACATACTTTTTCTTCGGACAAAGTTCTCGTTCGTCAGAATTAGACTGCAATAAATAATTGAACCGCGTACTAACGAGTCGCCAAAATTATCGCACGACGGCATCCCCGTCCCATTCGTCTTCGATTCTAATTTCGAGGATTGGCTCGCGAACCTTCCGCCGCACGTATTGGTCCGAAATCAGTTTTTCCGGGGACCAACACCTTGATTTCCTGGCCGCGATAATGACCGTGAGAAATCGAAAAACACGCCACCGGTTAATTTGAGAAATTCTGACGAGACGTAGTTATGCCAATTAGCTGCGAACGTCTACGTGGACTCGAGGTTTCGCAGATCGATTTACAGCACCGATCGCTTAGGCGGATATTACGTGCTAGAAATATGTTATAAATAAAGAATGTTGTTCGTTAACTCCTCGTACCATGCTATAGCAACGAGTCAGAAGCAAATTTTATTCTTCTGTTATCAAAGTATTGATCTGTCTCGTGATAAAGATTTTTCGGTAATAACCTGTTAAGTATGAATGTTATGCCGCTCTTTTTAGTCGAAAAAAGTATGGCTCTCTTGCTATATATCAGCACTCGAGTAAATGTAGGCATATTATTATATGCCTACATATTTATTGTATGCCTATTCAAATTTATTAATTTGAATTTCCTTCCTCTTCTAAATAAAATAAAATAAAAAAGATTCTAATCACTGTAACTGCGAAGATTTAAAGAAATTTTTAAGAACGAACAAGTTCTAATCAACGCAGCTGTCAAAGTCGAAGGTTCAATGATTTTCAAATCGTTTTACAACGAAACCTAAGTGGACTTTATTCTTCGCGAAGCTTCGAAGGAGTACTAGACATTTTGGATTCTATTCTCGGCGAGACAACTTTGAACGAGTAATAAATTCGCGGAGTTCTTAATAAATCGATCGCGGACAGAATTTTCGGTAACGATCCAGTGCATTATCTGGCATCGGCACAGATTCGCAGCGTTCATTAAAGTCGAGTCCAATAGCGTAATCCCTGTTCCTCCTACGTCGTCGGAAGCCACATACGTCGAAATGTTCGCGATCAATCCGTCACCACCTGTATCCCACGATTGTGACTCGTATTTACTTACCACTAGCGAACCGACCGAAGGCAGAGCAAATATTATTCGGGGCACCAGACATGATTGGAAGGGTGAACGGTTCCCTATTTGCACGTCCATCGAGATTCTAGAATAGACCGCGTAGGCCTGAGCAGGTTAACACTTTATCGTCCGGTCGTGGTTGAGGCTGCCACTCAGTAAGGACTGGCTTAGTCGCGCGCGCATTTGCTCCCAGTACCGGCTAAATTTTCGCTATTCATTGTGTTGTGCTTATTCCTTTAAAAATAATAATAAATAATAATAATTATTATAATTATAATTCATAAGGATATGGGGAGGTCAGCATACAGGAGGTCAGCTACTAACAAAACAGTAAAGAAGCGAAAACCGTCGATAGCTAAAAGTCGATTAATAGGCTATCGGTCGATAAGCATTGGCAATCGAAAAGCCGATTA